CTGTAGAGAATTTTTATAAAAATGTATTTGAGCCCAAAAAGAAAATACACCTGGAAGCAAGGTCCCAACAGACGGACTCAATGCTTCAGAGAAAAACAGTTTGCAGGTTCTTTTTTGCATTTGAAACGAAGGAGGGACAGGAGGGACGCTGGGGAGGATTGCGTGGAGGTGGGGGAAAGCAAGGCAGGGATTGGAATGAATAAGCTTGTGTGCTCTTTGAGGGTGGTTACGCTTATTTCAGAGGTGTGTGAACCTAGATCAGCCATGGGCAAACTTTTTGACTTGAGGGCCACATGGGTTCTTAAACTGGACCGGAGGGCCGGAACAAAAGCATGGATGGAGTGTTTGTGTGAACTAATATAAATTCAAAGTAAACATCATTACATAAAAGGGTACGGTCTTTTTTTTTCTTAGTTTATTCATTTCAAACGGGCCGGATCCGGCCCGCGGGCCGTAGTTTGCCCACGGCTGACCTAGATGCACAGGAGCAATGGACAGGGCTTACTTAAGGCCAAGATAAACCTTTCGCCAAAGAAGTGGTAGGCCTGGGATATGACTACCCACCAGAATTTATGGTAAGGTCACCCTACTTTCCATAGACCCCCTTTTTTCATCCACAATATGTAGCAGAGAAACCCACTGTCCCTATGGCTTAAAGGAGGTGGGAGTTACTGTCTCTGGGAGACAGCCAGTCTGTAGCTGGCATGGTGCATCCGCCGTCAGGCTCCAGCCCCCTTCTGTCTTGCTGCTCTGTGGTCCCAGCTCAGCAGCTGGTCCAGATAGCTGCCATTCTTTTTATTTGTTTGTTAATCCTTACCCCAGGATGTTTTTTTCCCATTGATTTTAGAGAGAGTGGAATGGAGGCGGGAGGAGGAGGGAGAGAGAGAGAATTAGAGGGAGAGAGAGAGAGAAATATCCATATGAGAGAGACACATCGATTGGTTGCCTCTCACACACACACACACACCCCAACTGGGTCCAGGGATTGAGCCTGCAATCAAGGTATGAGGTACATGCCCTTGGCTGGAATCAAACCTGGGACCCTTCAGTCCACGGGCCAACGCTCTATCCACTGAGCCAACCCGGAGAGGGCTCGCCGCCACTCTTCTCTGTCACAAAGCTGCATATGGATGGCTAGGAAAGAGAAAAGATGGTCCTTCCCTTTGAGGATTCTTCTCAGAAGTTGTACCCACTACCTCTCTTGAAATGCCATTGGCTAGAATTTCACCTTTGAGTCAGATCACCTTCTGGGGGAGCTTGAAAGTGTGGTCTCTATTCCACGGGGCCAGAGAAGCGTCTGAGGGTGTATTACAAGGAAGAAGGGCTGTTGGGGGTCTGTCACAGCACCTATGAGAGCTGCTGTAAAGATAACGGAGATAGCACGTGTGACAATTGAACTGGATTTTTTGGGGGGGTGGGAGTGGGGGGATGTAAATCATCCTGTTGATTCGATAACTAGATTTTCCAAGAGGCCACCGCCCAATCTGAAAACGATGGTGAAAGAGGAGAAAACCAAGTTCCAAACCAAATAAAACCCTGGGTCATTGTCAGACTAGGTACTAGGAGGATGCCTGTTGTGAAGCAGAAACACCCCCCCACCACCACCACCTTCAGTGCTTTGTCGACAATCTGACCATTAAACTGGAAGAGATTTGCACTTTGCTGCCTCCTAATCTAGAGGCTGGGCTGTGTGAGGTGGCCTGCTAGGCCTTCAAGGGCACTGGTTATCCACTGACTGTGGAAAATGTACGTATAGTTAGGATTCACCAGTTGTAAGCAACAGAAACCCAACTAAAACTGACATTAATTAATAAATTAATATTTTAGATTCCATATGTAAGTGAGGTCATGCAATATTTGTCTTTCTACGTCTGGCTTATTTGCTTACTATAATGTCCTTCAGTTTTCATCCATGTTGTCACAAATGGAGTTTGGCTATTCCCTCCTCCCCCAAAACCGGGTTAAATTGAAAGAGGGGCCCTGGCTGGTGTGGCTTAGTTGGTTGGGCGTCGTCCTGTGCACCAAAAGCTTTCGGGTTTGATTCCTAGTCAGGACACATGCCCGGGTAGCGGGCTCAATCCCTGGAGGGGGCTTGTAGGAGGCAGCTGATTGATGCTTTGCTCTCACATCAATGTTTCTCTCCCTCTCCCTTTTTCTCTCTCTAAAAATCAGTTTTTAAAAAAACACACATTAAAAAATTGTTTGAAGAGGGAATTTATTGGCTTTTGACAGTGAAAAGTCCAGCGGTAGACTTACATGACGGGGCCTAGGGATTCAATAATCTTAAGATTCAGTTGGCCACTGTCTTCCTGTTTCTGTCTCTGTCTCCCTCTCTCTCCGCCTCCTTCTCTCCCTACCTTTCCCTGTGTTGGCTTCCTTCTTGCGCAGGCTCTCTCCTCATGCTTGCTCTTGCAACTATGGCTTTGGCAAACCCAAAGGAAAGAACATGTCTGTTTCCCAATAAGGGCAAACATGGGTGCCCTTATTGACCTAGCATAAGCGAAGCAGGAGGCTTTGGCTAGAAATAAATGACAAAGTTTTATTGCAGGCTCTTAGGGTTTGCACACCAGAAACACAACTAGGCAATAGCCAGAGTGTCCCAAAGAATGAAAAGCTACGAGTTCTTACAGTAAAAATTACATTCTTGAGAAGAGCCAGCCTTGCCTTCTTAGCCTCTGGATTGTTCCAAGATAGCCAGTGGACACCCAAACATTCTCTCCTTCGTCCTTCAGGGGGTGACCCGGGGATTATCAATAGGATATCTATATAAAACTTTTAAGTTCCTGGGCTAAAGCAAGAATAATTTCCTCACGCCTCAACCTACTTGATTTTTGTAATTTAGCAGCTTGACAGTAGTGACTCTGTTTTATTTCTTCACTCTATGCCCCACTCTCTACAGTATGCCTGTGAGGTAGGGGTTTGGGGTTCACTGTCTTGAGGGGTGTCATGGTGACCACTGGGAACCACATCAGCAGTTCTTTAAGTGTGTCAACCTGAGGACAGTAATGAGTGTGGACTCACAGGACCTTAGACCCTGCAGTTCTTGGCTATTTTCTTAGCTTAGGTGGCTCACCACAATCCTTTGAGAAGATTGTCCGGCTCATTCAGATAACATTCCCTTGAGAATAACCACTGATTCGGTCCCCAAACTTTCTGGGTGGGGAAGCTGAGGCCTAGAGAGGGTAAGTCCTGTGCCTTCATTTGGATTCCCCTGGGAACAAGGACTTGTTTGTGATCCCAGGAATAGGAGTGAGGAAGTGGGAAAAGGAGAGAGGAAGAGACGCTTATATCGGCTGTTATTGAAGTCGTCACCCCAGGGAACCAGGACCTCTGAGAGGGTGCAGCTGCCTCCCAGACTGTCCAGCTGCAGAAAGGAAGACTTGAGGAAGTCCCTGAGCAGACAGACCCCCAAGGAACTGTCCCAGCAGCTGAAACCAGAGATGCACTGAGGAGATGTGACATGGGACACCAAAGGTGTTTGCAACAGTCACTGGCCCAGCCAGCAGCACACCTGGGATGAGACCTCAGGCTCCAACTCCAGCCTAGGGCTTGCTCGCTCCCTACAGAGCTTCAGCAGCCCCCCACTGTGTGACGCATGCTCCCCTCCCCAGCTCTAGCTCAGGAGTCAAGTCAGGGTCACCTCCCCATCAGTGGGCATCTCCACCCACCCTTCTGGGAGATGGTAGTGGCTTCCTCTCTCATGTACAAGGTGACCTAGTTTTGCTCCCTCCTGCCCTGCCTACCTTGTTCTTCCCAGAAATTCTCCCCACAAACCATAACCGATCAATCAACAAAAGATAGCCTTGGTATTTTTAGCAGCTGCAGAACTGAATCATCAGGATGGCCCTCAGGGCCCATCTCACCCCGTGGTGCCCTGGAAGGCTGGAACCTGGAGCATGCCCTGTCTGCCAGGAACAGGGTCTGAAACCTGTTCCACTCCTGCCCAGGCCTGGGTGGGAGCCCGGCAGCTGTCACCCGGGATGGGCAAATGAGCACACACTGGCCTGAGCCTCTGATACTTGGACTTCTGGAGGCCTTTTTTGGTTTTGTTTCTTTAATAATAGACTTAATTTTTTTATATGTTTTATTAATTGATCTTAGAGAGAGAGGAAGGAGAGGGATAGAGAGATAGAAACATCGGTGAGAGAGAAACAGCATCAATTGGCTGCCTCCTGCACACCCCCTACTGGGGATCGAGCCCGAAACCTAGATATGTGCCCTGACCAGGAATCGAACCAGTGACTTCGTGGTTCATGGGTCGATGCTCAACCACTGACCCACACAGGTCAGGCTAGACTTAGTTTTTTATGTACAGTTTTAGAGTTACAGAATAACTGAGCAGGTCCGACTAGAGTTCCATATACCCACCCCCCAGACACAGTTCCCCGTTATTAACATCTTGCATTAGTGTGGTACAATTAGCGCCCCCCACATGGATACATTATTAAGACTATAGTCCAGCCGAAACTGGTTTGGCTCAGTGGATAGAGCATCGGCCTGCAGACTGAAGGGTCCCAGGTTCGATTCCGGTCAAGGGCATGTACCTGGGTTGCGGGCACATCCCCAGTAGGAGATGTGCGGGAGGCAGCTGATCGATGTTTCTCTCTCATCGATGTTTCTAACTCTCTCCCCCCCCCCCCACCAGACAGTTTCCCCGTTATTAACATCTTGCATTAGTGTGGTACAATTAGCGCCCCCCACATGGATACATTATTATGACTACAGTCCATAGTGTACATTAAGGTTTAGTCCTTGCGCTGGACTGTCCGATGGGTTTTGGCAAATGCCCAGGGGCTTTCTAATCCCGAGGGTGTCTGGGATAAGGCCATTGTTCTTAGCCCTTAGGCAACCTCTCTGCTTAGTCAGAGGAACGTGATTTGCCTCAGTTTCCTTTTCCAGTGTTTTTGCACCAAGGCTCCAGGCCCCGGGCTCTGACTGGAAACGGGGGAGTGGAAACTGATGAAGGACAGGAAGTCAGATTCTGGTTTGGATCTCCCCAGGGTGAAGCGGCCCCTAAGTTCAATGGCCAGGGCTCCAGTTTCTAACACATTGTAAGCAGCCTACCTCCCAGCTGGGTGTGCCAGGCCCTGGGTGCCAGGGAGGCCTGGCCCGGCGCATTGGAGCCCATGGCGCCTCTCCCTGCAGTTCCGGAGAGGACCGCACTGCCACGCTGCCTATCGGAGGCCTTAGCTATGTCCAGGGTTACACCAAATTCCGTCTGATCAACAAGACCGTGGGGCGTTGCCTGGACGTCACAGCAGAGAAGTTCCCGGACCGAGAAGCGCTGATCGTCGTCCATGAAAACATCAGATTGACCTTTGCTCAGCTCAAGGAAGAGGTGGGTCCTGACCTTGAACCCTGAAAGTAGGCAGGTGCTACCCCCGGGCTTCCCTGGCTGGGTGGAGCCACAAGAGCGGCACCTGACGGGGGTGGGGTGGGGGGGTGTTGGGGCTGCCTGAGAACCCCAAGGGACGTCAGGAGATGGGGACAGGACTGAGGCAGAGGTGGCCTGGATGCCTCTTGCATCAGTCGCGCGGGGGCAGTTGCTAATTCTGTGTATTCCGTGCCCCACTCCAGATCCACTGAGGCCTGTCCCTTGTTCCTAGGGGACTCTGCTGTGAGCCGCTGGGCCGAGGGCTGAGGTGGGAGTCGTGGCCCCATCCTGCTTGCCCACACCTTACCCCTTGTGCCCTGTCTGTTGACACCAGGTGGACAAAGCTGCCGCTGGGCTCCTGAGTATCGGCCTTCGCAAGGGTGACCGGCTGGGCATGTGGGGACCCAACTCCTATGCATGGGTGCTCTTGCAGCTGGCCACCGCCCAGGCGGGCATCATTCTGGTGAGGAGGGGCGGACCTGACCCAGCTGGGTGTGCAGGGGAACATCATATTCGTGGGAAGCCTGCTGGCCCCTTGGCCTCAGAACCAAACCAGCGCCTGTCTGGCTCTTTGGGTAGCTTTCTCCTGAAGCCACCAAGGAGAGCCAGGGGGGTAGGGTGCCACCTCTGTCTACGCCGTGTTTCTGTGCCCGCTGAGGCTGGAGGGGCAAGGAGAGGGATAGGGTCTTCCCAGGACACTGACATCCCCTGCTGTCTCCACCAGGTATCTGTGAACCCTGCCTACCAGGCTATGGAACTGGAGTACGCCCTCAAGAAGGTAGGCTCTGTTCCTAGGGGTGGGGCTGGGTGGGCGCCTGGAACAGGGGGCTTCCGGTTGACGGGGTGGGGAAGGCATGTCTGTCCTTCCTTAGGCTGAGAGTGGGTGGGAGGAGGAGGTCGTTGGGCCGATACGAAGCTGGTGTGTGTGTGGGGGGGGGTGGTACATGCATGTGTCCTGGCAGTAGTGTGTGAGTGAGTTGGTGTGTGTCGTGTTAGCGGTGGTGCGTGTGTGTAAGGGTAGTGGTGCGTGTGTATGAGAGAGAGCAGCGTGGGGCTTCCTGCTGACTGGGGAGGGGGGGCTCCCTCCCACAGGTGGGCTGCAAAGCCCTGGCGTTCCCCAAGCAATTCAAGACCCAGCAGTACTACAACATCCTGAAGCACATCTGTCCGGAACTGGAGAAGGGCCCCCCGGGGTTCTTGAGGAGTCAGAGGTGGGATGTCCCGGGTTAGGATGAGTGTGTCGTGTGGCATCCCAGCCCCCTCCTTCCCTCCCCACCCCCAGGGAGGAGGCTGGTGTCTCTGTGGGCCCATCTTCAGCCCCTGACTCTCTCCATCCTCCCTACCCCCAGGCTCCCAGACCTGACCACTGTCATCTCGGTGGACACCCCTATGCCAGGGACCCTGCTCCTAGACGATGTGGTAGCAGCGGGAAGCAAAGAGCAGAATATGGCCGAGCTCCGGCACGCCAAGCTGTTCCTGTCCTGCCACGACCCCGTCAACATCCAGTTCACCTCGGTAAGGCAGAGGTCGTCAGCACAGAGCCCAGGCTGGCATGCTCACCCCTGCCTCCCCTGTGACCCTTCCCCGAGAAGGAGGGCACACGGAGGACGCCAGGAGTGCGGCCACTCTTCTCCTGGGGCTCGCCCCAGCTGTCCTCTCTGCCCTGGAAAACATCAGCGACTGGCGCCCTTGTCACATGTCCCCTTCCCCTGGCCCGCTTGTCCCCGGCCCAGGGGCAGGTGCACAGGGAGAGCCGGCCCCCTCATTTAGCAGATGGGGAAACTGAGGCCCAGAAGCCGAGTCTGCTGCTGGGCCACAGAGTTCTCTAAGCCACTTGGGTGGCGTGGCGGACGGAAATCTTATCTTCCGTGTTTCTGGATCCTAACACCTGGCACCACGCAGGCGTGTGGTAAACCTTTGTGAACACGTATGGAGTGAATGAATGGATCTGGGGCCGCAGTCCCAGTCTCCTGACCCCCAGTCCAGAGCTTGTCCATGCAGCGGCCCAGGGCATGAAGGAGATGGGGAGAAAGAGGCCAAGTGTCACCTGTTTGTCTTATCAGGGAACGACAGGAAGCCCCAAGGGGGCCACCCTTTCCCACTACAACATTGTCAACAATGCCAACATCATAGGGGAGCGCATGAAACTGCACCTGAAGGTGAGGGGGTGCTGGCTAAGGCTTGCGGGCACCCTGCATGGGTGGGGGTCTTGCTGGGCTCCCCCTGCTGGCTAGAGGAACTAGCTTCTGGGGCTTTGGGCTCCAGGATAGACCTAGCCTCCTGCCTCCATCTCCAGACACCAGAGGAGTCGAGGGTGATCCTGCCCACCCCCCTGTACCACTGCCTGGGTTCTGTGGGGGGCACAATGGTGAGCATGATGCACGGTGTCACCCTCATCCTGTCCTCTCCGATTTTTGATGGCAAGAAGGCGCTGGAGGCCGTCAGCAAAGAGAGGTGGGCATCAGTGGGCAGCTACCTGCTGGCTCATGAGACCCTCCTATTCCTCACTCCTGGGCCCCGATCCCTCTCCAGGATGTCTCCTCCCTCCCGCCAGGAGAAAGGGAGACAGGGTCGTGGGGCACCCCCGGAGAGCATCAGTTCCTGGCTCCAAAGAACTCCTGCCTGTTCCCCTCAGTGGCAGCCTTGGCCCTTGCTATAGCTTCAAGGTGGGTGGGTGAAAAGGGGGGGTTTCCTTCTACATCCAAGCCTGATTTTGAGATGCCACCCCCCCCCTTATACAGAGGCTCCTTCCTGTATGGCACCCCCACAATGTTCGTGGACATTCTGAACCAGCCAGACTTCTCCAGTTACGACATCTCAACCATGCGTGGAGGTGGGATGGGGCCAAGGGTGGTCAGGCCAGGATTGGCCTGGATGAGCTAGATGTGCACCCAGTCCCGTACTCAGGGGCGAAAAGGTCACTGTAGAAATGTGGGTGGAAGGGAGGCAAGGTCCCAGCCACCTGGACACCAGCCCAAGGCCAGATGCCAAGTGTAGGAACAGGTCCGGGGCAGGGAAGAGAAGGGAAAGTTCTTCCCTAGAAAGAGCTGCAGGTGCAGGGGGTCCACCGGGCCTGGAGAAGCAGCGAGCCGTGTCAGCCCCCTCTCTGATTCAGGTGTGATCGCTGGGTCCCCTGCACCCCCCGAGGTGATCCGAGCCATCATCAACAAGCTGAACGCGAAGGAGCTGGTGGTGAGTGGCGGCTGGGCCTGGGGCTGTGGGAGGGAGGCAGGGCAGCCTGGGGTGAGAACAGATGTCGGGGAGTGGGGCTGAGCCAGGCCAGGTCTCCAGCGTAGACCCTCTCAGCCCACCCCTCTTCCAGAAAACCGATGTGAGAAAATGCAGTCTGACCCCATCATCAGCTGGCGAGTCACGGAGACAGGGAACGGCGGGGAGTAACTATCATACATACATACATTTATACTTATAGGAACCTGGGGAAGAGGTGCAGCAGGGGGGGCATTTGGCAAAGCACCGGTATCCTGCTAGAGCGTCCTGGCAGGCAGGGGCTGGCAGAGTTGGCATATGGGCTTAAGACCCTTTCTGGACACAAGGGGCGGGGCAAGGATCTGATGTTTGTTTCCAAATGGAAGGGTGGCCATCCTGATGACCGCCCAGTTCTGGTTCTGAAGGTCTTGAGGGTCTCGGCAACAGCTTCTGTGAGAGGAGCCGTGGCGGGGGGGCCAGGTGTGATGGAGCCCTCGCTGGCAGGTAGAGAGGGTGGGGCTGGGTTCACGCTGGAGTGCTGAGCCCCCCCAGCCAGGACACGTCTAGGTGTGGACAGCTCTGTGCATCAGCAGAGGCTGGGGAAGGAGGCGGGGTGGTTAGTAGTTTCTCCAGCA